AAGGGAATCTCATCATTGTGCTTCTGTCATTCAAGAAGTGTCCCTGTCCAGGACATATCTTTTGGAAACTCATGGAAAAAATTCCTAGTTAATACATCTTTAATAATCTTATCTTAAACATTGAAAGAGACAATACCAGACTGGTCATGCAATTAGTACGTCAGACCCCTTTATAAAATCCAATCATTTAGCAGAAACAAAATTAATTCAAGTGGCTAAACTACTGAATATCTCTTGGCCATGTCAACTGACAAAAAATGATGTAGCCTGTGTTAGTTAATATGTTTTTAATGTAGTTCACAGGTACTAGTGCCTGGTGCATGTTAGCCTTATCCCTGGTGGCCCTGCATCCTACCCTCAAAAAGCCCTATGCTGTCTTACCATAAATTCCTCGCTGTAGCCCACATCACTCAGATGTCCCAACCCATACTTATTCCAGCATCACAAACTGAACTAGATAAGAAAACCCCTGACACTTTCCTTTCATTCAGGCACAGATTGCTCTCCTGGCCTTTCATTTATTCACCTTTACAGGACCTTAACCTTTGGTGCTCTGAACAAAATCCCAGAAAAAGGTTGCCATTGAGACCTGTGAAATGACTTTATTAAATGCTATTTATTACCACTTCGGCAAATAAAGTATAAGAAATGGATCCTTGGTTACATGTTTATGAACTAGTATGATATCATGCACCCTTCACTAACAAAAATTGAAAAAGTTATTCATTTAGAGATCTTAAACTGAGGTTCTCTAAAGAATCAGCAGAAGCAGATAGTCCACAGATGAGTGCATATGGAAGATCCTAGAAATAAGCATGTAATTGCATGAAGCAGACAGATCCACCAAGGCCAGTAGAAGAGAATTCTCCTAGATGATTGGAACCACAGATTTTAATACTTTCCTTGGCATTCTTTTGAGGTTATTTTTATCCTTTCAGAGGTACTTTCCCACTTGAATGAGAAAATGTTATGTGTTTCTGATTATCGTGACTTTGTTCTCTTACTAATAAAATAACTTGCATGCATATAGCCTTTATTTGACATAATACCCATCCTAGTGCTTTAGTTCAGTTCTGGATAGACACTGCTAGTGCAAAAATGTTTAAGAATTATTGGATATGTTATTTCATATCAACTACTGGAAAAGCCAAATAATAACCATACCCTAATTGGTACTGCTAGAGTGAATCTTCATTAATTAAATTACCCTTAAAGTGTGAGAAAATATATATTGATAAAAATTTAGGGTAGAGGTTGTACAACTAACTTGTGTACAGAATGTGACTCAACTTGATTATATGAGATGATCCAACCTTCAACACCAATTCTGCAATATCAATTGCCAAATATATTTTGTAGAACTATAAATCAAGCCTCTAAAGGAATTCAAACACTTGAAATGATGAGCTATTCCTATGAAATAACTTCAAAGTTCAAAACCTCAGGGGTAGAAAACACTGAGAGTGGAGATAGAGGTGAGGTCATGCGTGTGCCCTGTGCCCTGTGCTTCCTCCCACCAAGACACATGGTTCTCAAAAGTTTATGGGTTGTAGGCTCCTGTTAAAATGACATTCTTGAAAACACAAAATAAGAATAGACCAATGTTTACAAGGAGTGGGGAATATGGAAGCATGAGATGGCATTAGAATAGCACAAGGGAGTTTTGGGGAGCAATAAAACTATTCAGTATCATGATCCTGTATGGTTACTGAATATATACAATGTACTAAAATTCAAAATTCACAGAACTGTACACCAAAAATGGTCAATTTTTCCTAATAATTTATTTAAAATAAAAAATTTAAACACTGGGATCAAAATGGCAAAATAGAAATTTTCTACCATCTCCGCTCTCCCCCCAAAAAAACCACTGATTTTCCATGTCATACATTAAACTAAAAAGAGTGCCTATGAAGAAGTCCAGCAGAGAATACATAACACACTGTGGAACATCAACAACAACAAAAAATTCTGATTTTGACAGAATAAGGATGGCATGAAGAACAATTTCACTTTACCTTCATCACTCTTGCCCATTGGCACAGCTCTGAGCCAAGAGAAACCTTCCAGCCTGAGATTTCCCCATAGAGGGAAGTGAGAACATATGAGTGAACACATGGCCCTCCAGCACTGGAGGATGTTCCCAAAGAGAACCCTCTTTCTAGTCCCATCCAGGATACTGAGGTGTACTGCTCACTGGGGAGTGGGGTACTCCTAGCCGAACAGCACCCAGAGCTCTTGGAGGGCAATAAACCAACAAGGACCCTACAAACCACAGCACAGCCTCCATTAGGAATCTGCCCATGAGCCACTGGAGATGGCCTGCATGCAGACCCCCACAAATGGTCCATGGGCACACACAACACTCAGTTCCTCATCCATACATCACCCAACCTACAGCCTGTCACCAGCATACAAAAGGGGTTAACAAGAGAGAGCTTCTGTAAGCAGCAAGTGAGCATGTGCAGAAAGCAACCCCACTCTCCTGGATTGGGAGAAATCACACATATGCAGTCAGCACCATCCTAGAGAAAGCAAACAAAAGGGAGACTCTCAGCCCCTAGTCTGGCTTCACAGGATCAAGAGAAGGCCTTAAAGGTTGTACCACATTGTCTCAGGAAGTAGGAAACAAATAGCCAACCATGCTGAAGGTTTAAAGCCTGAATGTGTCTGGATCTGAGCTATGTACTCATTGCACACTCTGGCTAAAGCACTTGTTTTTTTCCACTGCATCAGTTCTCATCTAAGTATGATCAAGCATTCAAACCTGTAGGAACTGCACCCTCTCTGCCACTTCTAACTTGATTTAAGAAGAAATAAACTAATAATACAGAAACATGCTTCCTTCTGACTCCATCATCAGTCTTGGAGGAAATGGACCAATCAAGAGTCATCTTCCTTCTACGGTACAGGAGCTGGTGGTACAAGGAGGGAAAGAATCAAGCCCGTTGACATGTTGGGCTACAGTACTAACCTCCTTTGGTCAGATGTGATCAACTGAATTTAATCTGAGGACTTTCCCAGTAAGAGAAAGCCAGTTACCAAATACCTAGCAATCACAACTCAGCTAAGAGGAAGCACTGTCCCCGTAACAGTTGCCAATTATATCCATCGTTAGTTACGAAGACTTGGAGAGACCTTGAAAGGAGCCTACCCTTGAACAGGGCTGGGAGAATGAGGGAATTAAATATTTACTCAATTTGTTTCATCCCATTGATTTCTCTGCAGTACTAGAAAAATATTTTTTTTAAATAAAGTTTGTGGTTAGAAATGTTTAATTCAGTCAAACATGAATATGTGGAGGGAGGTTGGTAGCATGTCATCTCTACATTAGCCATTAGTCCAAATGCCTTCATGCAATCTACTAATAATAGTAAGGTGGCTGATACATGCATATAAAAGTTTTCCCACATTTCTCAGAAAGGCTTTCATTATAATGATAACAAAAAATTACAAGTGCAAGAATAAATTGAATAATCTTCTAACAGCAGAGCATCATTAAGAAAGAGAGACATTAAAATGGAAAGAAACAGTATGTTCTCAAACAATCAAATAATCACATACGTACTTTAAGGACTTTTATTTTTCACAAATCAATTTATAAATATAATTTAAACAGAAAGTTTAAATTAAAATTATGAGTAAATAACAGAATTGTCCTTTCCTTCTGTCTTTATCATCTACTGATAACCAATTATGTGGAAAAGTTTGTGCTAGGTACTGCAAATATAGCAGTGAATAAGATATAAAATTCTGTCTTCTAAATCCTGTGAGAGAATTATTGTGACCAGATATGTACAGAATTTGTAAACGAGAATATTTTTCTGAGATTTATCTGAAGCTCACATTGTCAAATCACTCCCTATCTTAATTTCCCTCAATCACACAAATAATACACACCATCCCTGGGCTCTGATGGAAATCTTATAACACAATTTCTGAATAGAAAGTGATAAGGCACATAGAAATGGTTGTCAAATTATGCCCTGAATTCAGTGGAACAAAATGAAAATGAAAATGTAATTAATTAAAATATCTCACAGAGCTACGGTAAGACACAGATTAAATGAAAACAAAACTAAAATTAGGGGCGCCTGGGTGGCTCAGATGGTTAAGCGTCTGCCTTCGGCTCAGGTCATGATCCCAGGGTCCTGGGATCGAGCCCCACATCAGGCTCCTGGCTCAGCGAGGAGCCTGCTTCTTCCTCTCCCTCTGCCTCTCTCCCTGCTCATGCTTTCTCTCTCTCTCTGTCTCAGTATCTCTGTGTCTCAAATGAATAAATAAAATCTTAAAAAAAAAACACTAAAATTAAAACAAAGGAGATGTTTGAGGTAATGACGTGATGAAGTGGGGAATGCTAAAATCAAAACACATGAAGTGAAAAAATCATGATCCTAACTGTAATAAGAATTTTTGAGACTAACAGGAATATTAGCAATACTATATGATTACAGAATTATCCCATTTATATTTGCATCTTAAATACTTCTTTATTTGGCATGTAATGTTTCAGAATCAGAAAAATCATAATCGCCGCTTTTGAAACACAATATTTAAGTGCCCATCGATAATAATGACTGTAAAACTGGTACTAAGGGGTTATTTATAGGAGAGGAGTCTCAATAACAAATGTAGAGTTCCATAATACCTGAATTTCAAAATAAAACATTACTAACTCCATTCAAGAATCCATTAAACAACAGTCATCGAACAAAGCATTCTAACCCTTTTTGGGTCATCTCCGTCCTAATAGTTATATAATTCGCTTTTAATGTCTAAAACATTAGCTTCCGGGGTAACTGGGTGATAGGCATTAAGGAGGGCATGTGATGTGATGAGAACTGGGTGTTACATGCAACGGATGAATCAATGAACACTACAACTGAAACAAATGATGTACTATTTGTTGGCTAATTGAGTTTAAATTTTAAAAAGTGATAAAACATTAGCTTCCACGTGCAGACAAACAATAGGACAAAAACTATACTTGAAGGTCTGTGTCAAAGGACAGGGGGCTGCCCCAGACCCAGGTTTGAGTGCAGGTAGCAGCTGTCTGGGAAGCAATGTGTGCTTGCTGCACAGAAGTACACAGCTGAGTCTTCAGGCTGGGTGTCTGCGATGTGCAGGGAGAGATGTTTGGCTGTCCTATTCAATAAAACAGTGAATCTTTGGTCTTCTTTTGTGGCCATGGTTGAACGAATGTCTATAAGGAGCTGGGGACCTTTTCCAAACTCTTGCTTATACCAAGGGAAGTACTCTGAGGCACTGTCTGAATAACGGCAGTTGATAACAGAGCTGCTTCCCTGGGGCACACTCAGGGTAGAAGGATGCTGCTCCACCTTCTCTCCTTGGCTGAACCCTGTGCCAAAAGAAAAGGTCAGAGAAAGGAGAAGAGATTCCAGGTTAGTCTGCTTCAGAATTCTCTTCTTCTACACTAACTGAAGGAAACCTGAGTAAAGCCAGTCTTGACTTCTGAAGAATATCCACTAATATACTCTGGTTGCCATAAACCCTCAACTCACAGTTCAGCTGCAGCCACGAGAATATGATTAAAGCTCCTGTGGATGTCTTCATGGTTCCTCCCAGTTACAGTCACTTTCAGAATTGCAGCCTCCAGCCAGCTCACCTCCTTCTCTTGTCAGGCAGTCCCTTCTTTGCTCTAACAGAGTACTTTCCCACATTGTCTACCAGCCAATAAGAAAAAGACTCTGCTTCTGCCATAGCCTAGTCAATCAGATGCACTAAAATGAACCCTCCACGTGTTCTGCATCAGCACAGGTGCACTACCATCTTGTGGTCACATTTCTACTGAACTCACTGGGGAAATGTTCTTCTCTTAGCCTGTGCCTCTGAGGGACTCACATGCATCAAGGCACCAATCAGTCAGGCAAATTATATCTTAGATTAAGGATGAAGTGCACAGTAAGAATGTGGAGACTGAGATTTATACCTCTGCATACTACTGAGTCGCTGTTAGTATGTTGGAAAGAGGTAGATGCTATTGCTGTTTATTCAGCGATGGGCCTGGTATACATGTTTGAAAGCAGGAAGGAATGATGATTCACTTCCTTCCTGTTCTACCAAATCTACTGTCCTCATTTGTCTGTTATGGAGAAAAGCTTTTTGTAAAAGGAACATGTGTCCAAAGATTACAGTAAGAGAGAGAAGATCATTTGATATTTCAAATGCCTCTGATCTCAGACTCTGCACCTCCTGGCTGGTCTTGCCAATGACCTTGCTTTTTCCAGAGGATTGACAGTACCAACAGTCAAAATGGGGAATAGTCCTTCAGTTAAGATGACTGTGACAAAAAGTAAAGGACCAAATCTAAATAATAAGGGAGCAGGGATAACTTCCATTCGTTATTACTATTTCAACTATAGGAAACTTTCTGACCCAATATTAGACTAATTTGCATAGAGAAATCAGACATGCTTTAAGAAATCTATTTGGATGCTGTGTGTCTTATATTCTGCAAAGTACTGAAAGACAGAGTCGAAATTGTGATGAAACATCAAGCTTCAAACTCAGAAAATATAACCACCTGTAAGTTTATTCTTGAGGTGATTTCCTTTTCTCAGATCAAAATAATTGACATGTCCTCCAATGCAATTACTGACTCATAGTCTCAGGAGAATTTCCTCTAAAGTATTAACCATCCATCCTGTCATGCTTCCCACTTCCTGGCCAACACTGCTTCACATTCCATAGTCCATCATATTTCTCCTGAACGCCACTACAGTGTTCTTTCCCCAGGACTCATTGATAAAGTTCTCTAGTCCTGTGAGTTTCCAGAATTATCTCTCTCTGCCAAAACCCCTTTCTTGTTCACATTAATTTCTTGGAAATTTGATGTCCTCTGTAAGAATAAATCCATGAAACCATAAATATTGTGTGTCCTCGGGGAATAGTACCAACAGGAAACTGGCCCTAAAGAACTGATCGGGAGAAATGGTCTCTGGGAAACCAAGACTACCTCATTTCCAAAAGTGGAAGCCCCTTTCCTGTGATTCTTACTCATGGATGCTCTGAAATGACCAAGGATAAGACTCATCTTCCTTCCACCTCTCCCACCCTGAAAGATTTAAAGACAGCTATAAGAACATCAACTCAATATATTAATATATGTGTATATATGAAATGTTTTTATGTATGGAAAACTTCTTGGTTCTGAGAATCTTCTTCCACCCATTGCCCATAAAGTAAGAATTCTCACACTCTTCTCTGAGTAAATTTCCCTCTTTTCCAAGATAGATTATTTAGGTCAATGTTTGCACTTTTGAGGCGTGACACTCAGAACTGAATCTAATGGTCTGAATATGACCATTCTTTATATTAACGCTTTTCTACTTATTAACTATTGCACAGATAAGGCCATCCCTTGTGCAAAATTCCTAGCTCCTTGATTATTTCATAGACTGTTTTAGTATGATTATAGTGTTGGCCCAGAAAATCTTCATCTACCATCTTCATGGACTGCCATCTGCACGAGTCTTCCCAATGATCTTCTTTGCAGACAATTTGTGAGTTATGCACATTATGCTCATCGTGCCTTCAAGGGATGTCCTCCCGGGATATTAAATATATTTCCTTTTTAAAGGAAAGTCCTTAGAAATACATGGAGGTGTTCACAGGGCAGCATCACCGTTGGCTTACTCCTATAGAAACAGTGAGTGATGCATGAGTTTGCTGGTAGAATAACAGTGGCTCAGCCGGAGTCTCCTTTCCTGCCCAAAGTCTCAGACATTTACACAAATTGGGACTCTCCATTCAGGGTTTCAAACTGATTGGACCACCACTTTCTCAGACCCAAACCGCAGAGATAAATGTCTGGGCTTGCATTAGACACTTTATCTTTACTCAGCACGATGGTCCTACAGCAAGGAGGCAGGAGAATGAATGCTAAATAGGAAGTTAGGAAACCCAGTGTCTTTCCCCTCCAGCTCATTCAGTAACTAATTGTTCACTAACTAATTGTTGTCTTGGAAACAGTCTCTCTTGTGTAAAATGAAGTTGGACTCAAGAATTACTAAGGGCCCTTCCAGCTCTAAATTTCTTTTATACTATATAACGAAGCAAATACTTACTGATGACTGGTTCTATGCAAGGTGGACGAGTGTCAGAGTGGGGTGAAATTGCCTGCATCATGGAACCCCAGGCCATTTTCACAACCATGTGATCTAGTGGGTCTGAGGTTGATCCTTCAGAAGCAGAGACACAGTCCTCAGGATGAGATCCTATCTGGGTTTTCATTTCTTCTATGAGATCACTAATGTATCAAAGAGAAATAAGTCCAAATTAACACTGAATAAAATAGGACTTTTATTCATTGAGTGCAGTCCTTCACAGGCATTGTCGAGGGTGCTCTATGGCTGAGCCATGGGTAAGTGGGATGTTCTTCTGGAGTCGTATTTCTTATAAATATCTATTACATATAACTTACATATTGTATGAAAAAAAGAAAGAATCTCTGCAATTGAGACAACCTAGAGGAGGTGGATGCGTTTACTAATATGGAAAGTGAGAAGCACTATTTAAAACAGCCTAATTGCTTTTTGGATTCTGGCTTTCTCCTTGAAACCTTAGTTTGGAGGTTCAAAACTTCCAACCAGGGATGTCTCTGCAATTTTTGAGATCATTTCAAAATGAAAACTTGGGAACATCATTCAAAATCAGGGAAAAGGTATCATTAGGTAATGTTTCTAGGGGAATCATTTATCTAAAATGCTATAACTCTTAACTCTTATACATATTAGTTTCATGTCTCTCAATTTAATTTTTAAAGACTTTCTTTTTTTTTTTCAAACATTTCAACCAAGTTCCAAGATAATGAGGCAGATGTACTGGGGTCCCAGTGCACCTCCTGCCCCACGCAGGCATAACCTTCCCATTATCACCTTCCCCATGGCCCTTTCACAGTGGAAGACACTATGCTACCACATCATATCACCCAAAGCACACAGTTTATCTAGGGTTCATTCTTGCTGTTGTATGTTCTATGGATTTGAACAAATGTGTAAAACATGTATCCACCATTGTAGTATCATAGAGAGTAGGTCATTCCATTAAACATGCTCTGAGCTATACTGAAACCTCTTGCTCCCCTCAACCTTTGGCAACAACAATCTTACTCCCTCCAGAGTTTTGCTTTTTCCAGAAAGTCGTAGAATCTGAATCATACCTTATAGCCTTTTCAGATGGGCTGTTTTCACTTAGTAAAATGCATACAAGATTCCCCTATCTCTTCAGGGCTTCATTTCTTTTTAGCAGCAAATCATATTCCATTGTTTGGATGTACCAAAATTTATTTATTCATTCACTTATTGAAAGACACACTGCTTATTTCCAAGTTTGGTAATTATGAATAAACTGCTATAAAATACATGTGTACAAGTCTGTATGTGGACATAAGTTTTCAAACCCTTTGGATAAATACCTAGGAAGGCTGTTGCTGAATCATATGGTAAGAGTATGTTTAGTTGCGTAAGAAACTGCCAAACGGCTTTATTGAAATGTCCGTGTACACACTTTCAATTTGTAGTAATTTCCTGACAATATTTACTACACCCTTTGCTGCCTGTCAAAGCCCCAGCTAGTCCAAAGCAGGCACAGGTACCACAGGTGGCCCTGCCAACTGCTCAGCTCACAGCTGTGACCCAGAGCCTGAGCCTCCATGTGTCCCTGCCTGTGTCCTGCCGCCCCGCGTATCTCTCTGCTCAGGCACTGTTCCTCCCAACTATGGAACTCACTTGTAAAAGACAAGTACAAAGATAAAATTAGTATTAATTTCAAGACAATGATGTCACAGCATTAAACCAAGGGCAGGGTTCCTTGGGAGAGCGGAGGGCTGTGTAACTGCACGGGTCACATGCTCAAGAAGCTGGCTCTGCTCCCAGCTTCAGAGAATCTGTGCATTTAGCTCCATCTGAATTTTCAGGGATGCAGGCCTTCTTATCAATGCCCTTTCATCAAAATAAAAACCAGGGCATGCTGGAACTCAGTGTGTGCAGGAATCTTCCACATGCAAGTTTAAACTTTGGGTTTGGGGTCAGAAGTCTTTGTCTCTGGCTACAACAGAGAAGGGGATCATTTAGGGTAGTCCTGGAAGCTTTCTGCTCCCTTTCCCAAACTGGGAATGATGTTACATAATCATGACAATAGATTCATTCAAAATACAAGGAAAAGCAATGGATTTTCATGGAACAAAATGAAAATTTCCATGAGCTTTTCCACACAAGGGGCTACTTAGGAATGACTGAAATGGATACTTTTGTCAGCGATATATGTCAACACATTGTACAAACTGAATCAATAGAAATCATTCAGATTTTGTGATTCTATAGGGTCTTCTGTATCAGGTACTCAGAGGATAAGCATTCATGTCACCTCAGATTCACTAACTTTGGAATAGTATGAGCTCCAGCAAGTCACTTATGCTATAAAATCCTCCCTTTATTCATGCATAAAATAAAAGTGCCTATTTACAGGGTATTATCTTACTGAAACAAATGTAATAAGATAAGTAGAGTGTGTGACCCTCAAAAAAATTATTTTATCACATTTCTATTTCCAGGAGTAAAAAAAACTGAATACAGACTTGAAAAAACATTCTACACAGACCCTTTACATTTCATTGAAAAAGAAGCTACAGGAAACTTAAAAATTATGTCATGTATTTTATTTGTTCATGACCATCTATTTTTTGGAGGCTTTTCCATTTGAATAATTTACAAATAATTTATATGCTACCTGCCGGGAGATCTTTTTCCCAGGGCATTGGATATGGGCGTCTCTGTCACTTGCTCCAGCGGCTCCATGGTAGCATGGCTTTTTATCTGCAAAGGCTTTTTGGAAGAAAACGGTCAAGAAAAACAAGTGAAATGAGAGCACTGATAGGTCTAATTTTAGGAGGGAAAAGGTACTGTTACATAAATCTGAAAATCTGAAAATGTGCAAAGGTTCCTGTGGGGGCAAATGCCCGCCCCAAGGAAGAGCTGGTGCTGCAGGCTCAGCTGCAGTTTGGGTGCAGGCTGCAGATCACCAGGGAGCACTGTGCCTCCACCGCACACAGGTAGGTGGCTGTGTCTTCCAGTTGGGAGTCTGTGAGGTGGAGGGTGCTGGACCGTTCCTTAGCATTCACTGTGCAGTTTAGCCTTCCACTCTGCTTCATCCCCGAGATTATGTAAAACAGCCGGGTGAGGCCGCCACCCCCGGGGTTCTGTCGGAACCACTGCACATTGTTCACTGTGCTAGAAAAATTGCACTTCAGAGTAGAGCTGGCTCCCTCCTGGAGGCTCAGGGCTGAAGGGCTCTGCTCCACCTCCAGCCCTCTCACCCCTGCCAAAAGAGAAAAACAAACACAAGTGATATCACTGAGGAGTCACTGATGCAGATTTAAAACGTGTAAAATATTCCCAGACACACCCCTAAGGTTGTAGGACCCTCTAGGAGCTCAGTGTCAGCTCTTCCATCACTGTGGGCTATGGACAACTCCCCAGCCCCCATCTGGAACGTCCCCACTCACAGCAAACCTGAACCCACAGAAACCCCAGGAGAGGTCGCCAGTGTCTCCTCATGATTCCTTGTCTAGCTAATGAGGTGCCTTCACCCCTACTGTGTAGAGTGTAGTCTTGGGTCCAGAGAAATTGTGTTCTTAACAGTCAGTTCTTTCCACCAGAATCACTGAGCACCCAATCACACCTCAGCCTTGTCCTTCACAGAACTCAAACTCCACCCATGGTAGCCCAGTGACACTGCACAGTAATCCACCCAAAATTGTGCTTGCCAACAGTGCAGGGAGGTAGAAGCAATATTTCTAATATAGGAAAATACAAGGTGTTTTTTTTTTCTTAAAGCGCTTTATGTAAGAAATGTGTGGGTTAGGGTGTGTGTGAGGAAAAGTGAATGATTTTTCTAGAAGAGTCAGGGCCTAATGGGGATTACCAAGAACATTGAAGAATCACAGGGAAGAGTGATTCCATTCCCCAAACTGCGTAGTTTGACAGACAATGTGAGAATTCAGCTTTGTAAAAATACTGAGAAAGGAAAACTATCTATAGCACGCACTCAGTATTGCAGAAGTAAATACAATTTCTTGAAATCAAGAGAGTTCTAGTAACCAAGACAGACAGTCACCATCTGTATAGAAAGTGATTCCTACCAGAATGTGGACAGTGGAAAATAGGATGTCTGCATAATGTCCTCTCTGATATAATTTCCACCTCTCCACCTCTCCTGTGAACTGTTAGACACCATGCTCACCCACACAGCTGAGTCTGGCCAGGCCACACGTTGCTGGTCACAGTCAATATTGTCTTCTCCCTTTCCTTCTATTTTTGTTCCTCATTGTTTCCTCTCTTCTTCTCTTCATTCTTGTTCCCTCCACTCTCAGCAGAGATACATGAAAAGGTAGGATGTCTGGGGTATTGAAATAGATTCAAGGCCAGTAAATTTGGAGGATTTTATTCATAACAATTGACAACAGGTAATGGGATGTTTTCTGTTGAATTTCCACGGTCACATGCCCAGAAATAATCCTAACATGGTCTGTGAAGAATTATGTGCATGATGGATTTCTAGAGACATGGCCTCCAGATGTCTGGAGTTGATATTCAATGGCAGAATTGAAAACCTGAGAGGTTCTTTACAAAAAATCCTGTCCCCTCCCCCCCCCATCTTTGCTGTCCATAAGTGGACTGGCTCACATGATTTCTGTTCTCTCTAACTGTTCAACATTCCAACCATCACAAAGTCTTTGTTTCTTGTAAAGCTTAGAGTGCCCCCTAGAGGAATGAAGCTGTCAGCAAAGACCACATCAGACCAAGACACTCAGCGGACACAGACTACCAGCCCCATTCGTTCCAAGCTTCCTGATGAAGGAAATGCAGATGGTCAGAGAAGTAGATAACTGCTTAGATTGAATGGGGATTACAAGTGAACCAAATCCTACTTTTAAAATGGGATTGCATGGAATTGCATGGAAATTGATATGAGAAAATAATTTGGTTGTTCATTTTGACAATTTAGAGTTGATGTTTCCAAATGTTTTACTAGATTTGAACGAACAGAAAATATACGGTATTTTATTTAGACTTTATTATAATGTAAATATACATTTTGGGTATACCTTTCTGTAACTTGCATTATAATCTCAATAGTAAATCTTGTAGGTCTTACTATATTTACCCATATACATCCCTTGTTCCACTATATCCCATACTGTGGATATACTTCCATTTATAAATCCTTTCCTCTATTGATTAAAGGCTAAGATGATTTATTTAATCTAGGAAATATACACTACAATAAATCTTATTAAGCATTCCTCACATGAACCCATGTTTTTCTTTTTTTTTTAAAGATTTTATTTATTTATTTGAGAGAGAGAGAATGAGAGAGAGAGAGCACGAGAGGGAAGAGGGTCAGAGGGAGAAGCAGACTCCCCGCTGAGCAGGGAGCCCGATGCGGGACTCGATCCAGGGACTCCAGGATCATGACCTGAGCCGAAGGCAGTCGCTTAACCAACTGAGCCACCCAGGCGCCCGAACCCATGTTTTTCTAGGAATAGAGACTACGAGGAAATGAAGGAATAAGCCATGAGGCTGGCAGGTGAAAATTACTCCAAGTGGAGGAAAGTCAGGGTCAAAGGGCCTCAAGAAGAATGACGAGAATTCATGCTCCGATTATTGTGTTGGAAGGTTTTAATTTTCTATTTTTTTCTTAATGTGCATTGCAACTGGAGTTTATCAGCTCATTTGATAAACTCTTTCTGAAATTCTGTCCTGATATAGAGACAGTGTATAGTTTGCTCTGACCAGCCACTCAAGTTTTCTAAATATAGTAAATCAGCAAAAGAAAAAGCACACTCAAGGAGAAGCCATGGTATATACAAGGAAAAAATATTACAAAATAAAATTAGACATAGAAAAAAATGTACACACTTGCACACATACATACACACACAGTTTGAGGATATTGTCAATAATACAGAAAGACACTTTACTTTTCCCAAATCAGCAGAGAAAAAGAGAAAATTCTATCAGTGCAAAAGAGAAAAGAAAAGAAAGCAAAAGCATATGCAGCAAAACCAAAATACTAGAAATAAGTTCAAATATATCAGTAATCAAAACATAGATAAAAAGAAAGTATTGAATTGAATCAAAATTTAAAACTATTGCTGCATATACACAATGGACTATTACACAACCATCAAAAAAATTTGAAATCTTGCCATTTACAACAAAATGGATGGAACTAGAGGGCATTGCGCTAAGTGAAATAAGTCAATCAGACAAAGACAATTATCATATGATCTCACTGATATGTGGAATTTGAGAAACAAAACAGAGGATCATCAGGGAAGAGAGGAAAAGATAAAACAAGATGAAACCAGAGAGGGAGACAAATCATAAAAGACTCGTAATCATAAGAAAACAAACTGATGTTTGCTGGAGGGGAAGGGGGTAGAGGGATGGGGTAAATGGGCATTAAGGAGGCCACTTGATATAATGAGCACTGGGTATTATATAAGACTGATGAATCACTGACCTCTACCTCTGAAACCAATAATACATTATATGTTAATTAATTGAATTTAAATCTTTTTTAAAAATAAATAAAATAAAATGTTGGTACTAGCCACAAATTGGAAGTGGCAGAAAAAAGCACATACTTTATTTTTTTAAAGATTTATATATTTATTTATTTGAAAGAGAGAGAATGAGAGAGAGAGAGAGAGGACATGAGGGGGGGAGGGTCAGAGGGAGAAGCAGACCCCCGCTGAGCAGGGAGCCCGACGCGGGACTCGATCCCGGGACTCCAGGATCATGACCTGAGCCGAAGGCAGTCGCTTAACCAACTGAGCCACCCAGGCGCCCAAAAGCACATACTTTAAACATGTATAATTTTCTAGTTCCTTTTTTTTAATTTTTTTATTATTATGTTATGTTAATCACCATACATCACATCATTAGTTTTTGCTGCAGTGTTCCATGATTCATTGTTTGTGCATAACACCCAGTGCTCCACGCAGAACGTGCCCTCTTTAATACCCATCACCAGGCTAACCCATCCTCCCACCCCCATCCCCTCTAGAATCCTCAGTTTGTTTCTCAGAGTCCATGGTCTCTCATGGTTTGTCTCCCCCTCTGATTTCCCCCCCTTCATTCTTCCCCTCCTGCTATCTTCTTCCTTTTTTTTTTAACATATAATGTATTATTTGTTTCAGAGGTACAGATCTGTGATTCAACAGTCTTACACAATTCACAGCGCTCACCATAGCACATACCTTCCCCAATGTCTATCACCCAGCCACCCCATCCCTCCCACCCCCCACCACTACTTCCTTTTTAATGATGACTATCTTAATGTATTTGCTTCTACGTTTACAATAAATTCCCTGGTACCCTCATACTTTATACATCAAAAAAAATTGAAGGTTATTTTCAAAAGCACAAAATGCAGCTCTTGTCGAGGATGTGAAGAGACCGGAATACTTGCAAACTGTTGGAGGCAATGCACAATGCTGTAAACATGGGAAACAGTATAAACGTTCTTCAAAAAGTATAAAATAGAACTATCATATGATCCAGTAATCCCACTTATGAGTATTTATCAAAAAGAATTGAAATCAGGATCTCAGAGATATTAAGCACTCCTATGTTCATTGCAGCGCTGTTCACAATGGCCAAGATGGAAAAAAAACTTGAACGTCCAACAACAGATAAATGGATAAAGAAAGTGTGCTATATACATAAGTGGAGTACTATTCAGCCTTAAAGAGAAAAAAAAGGAAATCCTACAATATGCAACCACATGGATAAAGCTTGAGGACATTATGCTAGCTGAAATAAGCCAGTCACAGTAAGACAAATAATGCATGATTCCACTTAAACTGGCATCTAAAATAGTCAAATTCATAGAATCAAAGAGTGAATCAAAGAAGAGTTTGCCATGGGCCCTGGGGGTGGGGTAATGGGGAGTTACTGATCCATGAGCAAGATGAAAGAATAGACAATTGCTGTACAACTTTGTACCCATAGCCAATAATCATATATTGTACACTTAAAATTTTAAGAGTCTGTATCTCATGGTGAAGGTTCTGTACACGATACAAATCACATTTAAAAAAATAAGACACCACAGTCTCATCTGTTAGAATGGCCAAAATCCAAAATACTAACACCACCAAATGCTGGTGTCAAAAACTCAGAAATAGCCCAGGTCAATCCAGTGAATTTCACCAAAGTGGGAATTAGTAAAAGTGTCCTGTGCACACACCGAAAAGACCGTTCATGAAGTGGGAGCACTCAAACCAAAACATGGAATGAGGCTCAGGGATATATTGTTAGAAAGCAGTTTATATAGTGAGGAGACAGTGAGAGTCTGTTTTTACAGTGATTGGTTATAATAACAGAATTGTTTAAACGATATCAGAAATTGCTCACTGGGTACCTCACATCAAACTTGGGAAACAGTTCAAGTTTTGCTTACGATTTCCAAAGGCACAAAAAAACTGATGTGGGTCAAGTTAGTCTTGCAAAATAAACTAAATTAAGCTTCATTTGTAGGACTACATTGATATAGAAAGTGATCATTGCCCAGGGAATTTTCAAGGCTTCTCTGTTTGGTTTTTATTTTAACACAGGCAAGGATGTCCAGCAACAGGAAACCTCATTCCTGGCTGACAGAAATGCACAATGGTACTGCCACATTGGAAGACAAGTGTAGAAGTATCTTAAAAAACTAAACACACTCCTATCATATGATCTACCAGTGACAATCCTTGGTGTTTACCCAAATGGCTGGAAAACGGTATACACAAAAACTTGCACACAAAAACTTTGGCACAGGTCGTGATCCCAGGGTCCTGGGATGGAGCCCCACATTGGGCTCCCTGCTCAGTGGGCAGCCTGTTTCTCCCTCTCCCACTCCCCCTGCTTGTGTTCCCTCTCTAGCTGTCTCTCTCTGTCAAACAAATAAATAAATCGTTAAAAAAAAACTTGCACACAAATGTTTATAGCAGTTTTATTCATAATTGCCAAAACATGAAAGCAACCAAGACGTCCTTCAGTAGGAGAAAGGGTAAGTAAACTATGGTAGAGCCAGACAAGGGAATCCTATTCAGTGCTGAAAAGAAATGAGCTATCAAGCCACGGAAAGACATGGAGGAAACTTTCATGCATATTTCTTTTTTTTTTTTTTAAAGATTTTATTTGTTTATTTGACAGAGAGAGCACAAGCAGGGGGGAGCAACAGGCAGAGGGAAGGGAGAAGCAGAGAGCCCAACCTGCGACTCGATCCCAGGACCCTGGGATCATGAGCTGAACTGAAGGCAACCAACTTAACCAACTGAGCCACCCAGGCACCCCGCATGCATATTTCTAAGTGAAAGAAGCCAATCTGAAAAGGCTGCATTCTGTTTCACACCCAAGATATGACATTCTGGAAAAGGCAAAACTATGGAGAGAGTAAAAAGACCAGTGGTTGCCAGGGGTTAGAGGGAAGAACTGAAGAACTTCTTTAAGTAAAGGAAAGTTGAACTGGTGAGCAAAAATCGAAAAGCTCAAATGCAACAAGATTTGGGGGAAATTTGTTTATGTGTGCTTCTTAATTCCTCAAAGACTAACACCCAATTTTCTGCTGGGTTTAGAAGATGATCATTACTTCATATAAAGGGCTGTGGATGCATGGCTGTTCTGTGACTTAGAAATTTTCTCCCTGGGTCCACATATTTTACTTCCCTCCAGCTCAATACCTTCAACACACACGCACACATGCACACACCCACTCATGCACCAACGTGGGCAACACCATCTTCCTCAATTATCCAAAAGTATGTGGTGCTGTTTTCCCTGACCCTTTCCGGAGGGCACGGCACACACTGAGGTGCTTCCACAGTAGGCCCAGGTTTCTCCTTCTCTAGTCTTTCATGCAAGTTTGCCCCTATCCACATACAGCCTATTTTCTAAAATTGGTTGGTGTCATTGTCTGCCGATAGCTTCTTTCTTGTTTCTCTTTGTGTTTGCGGCTTTCTGCCCTTTGGGGTGTCTTTACTATCTTTTTAATAGAGTTTTAGAGAAATCAAGAGACAAATGGGTATTATTAATCTACAATGGGTGGTTTGTTTTTGTTTTTTTTTTAGAGATTTTAAGTAATCTCAACACAAAACACGGGGCTCAAACTTACAACCTCGAGATCCAGAGTCCCAGCTCTACCCACAGAGCCAGGCAGGCACCCCTAGTCTACCAAGTTTAACCAAAACTCTGAGAAAAATTCTTATTATACAACCTTTTGAATTGTTTAAAGTGAATTTTCACATACTTTTATGTTAATAAAGGTTTGAAGAAAAGTTTATATTTTAAACCAATTAAATAAAAAATTAATTTAAAGCAAGAATATATGACTAATATATAAGGAAATGTATTAATATCTGATCATAGCTCATTCATAAAATCTACTGATAAGGGGATAATAATTAAAGATCACAGGGCTCCTGGGTAATTCAGCTGGTTGGTTAAATGACTGGCTCTCTTCAGCTCAGGTCATGATCTCAGGGTCATGAGATCATGTTCCATGTCAGGCTCCATGCTCACTGAGGAGTCTGCTTGAGATTCTCTCTCTCTCACCTCTGTCCCTCCCCTCCACACACCCCACTCCTCCTCTGCCTCCCTCGCCCTCTAAAATAAATAAATAAGTGATTAAAAATACTTAAAGAAGATTGCAAAAGTACTGGCAATGTCTTGCACTGCGATGCAGACATTGCTTTTTCTATTATTTTTGCAAAACTTCTCTTACACCCATACATTCTCCCAATCCCATGATTTGTGGCTCTCTGTGAGAGGCTGCAAAACAGGAGTTAGAGAAATCTACAGGATTTCCCTCCCAGTGTCAGCTGTCGATCTATATTGTTAGGAAACATCTGTGCAAGAGTATTTTCTCTCACCGTATTTCCTGGGCACAGTAGGATCTCACTTGAGTTCCTACTGTCAGAAAGCCAACTGATCTATTTAACTGGCCAGGACATGAGCCACTTCCTCCATTCTGTTTCTGCCCACACCCCTTCATGTTGAATATCAGCCTGAGTCGCCACCTGATTTACTAGAAAAGAAAGCAGGGCAGAGGTCGCTGGCCTCTCCTTTCCTTGTTCGGGTACTTGTGTTCCTCCTCCTTTCTTCCCTTCCCTTCTTTCTCTATTAAAACCTGGTTTGGGGCTGAAGCTCTCCCATCACCTCTCCTGCCATACTCTGTCAGGAAGACATTGGGAATTACCACCTTCTCACGCACACCGTGTGTCTCTAAACGTGTCATAGACACAGCAATACCCACCAGGGTGCCCTGAACAACTTGTGGGGCTGGGCATTCACTGCACGGATGAGCTAGTGACCACTTCATTGTTATGTGGTTTTACCTTGAAATTACTTATGCCCTGGCTGAGGAACTCTTGGCATCAAACTGTTCTCAACGTCACTAAGGAACAGCTGGGTTTGGGGGATGTTACTTCTGGTTCCTATGCTCTAGTCATTTGTATGATTTTGTATCAAGCAGACACTGAGGGACAAACAACCACAGACTGTGCTGGAACCAGAGTGGATCAGGCAGAGGCACTCACATTCTAAGCTCCTGTTCTGCTCAGAGTTTGTGCTCAGCTCCCCCTGCAGTCCCCATCACTGTGTCACTCAGGGCACAGTAATACACAGCTGAATCTGACGCTTGCACTGAGCCTTTCTCCAAGTGGAAGGATTTGGAATCTCTGTCATAGGTGGCTTCAAATCCTTTCTTGCTTCCCTTCTCCTTGTCCCTCAAGGCTTTCAGGAGGAGCTCTGGACCTTCTCCTGGATACTGGACATACCAGAAAAGAGTGAGGGACCCTGACGCTGAATAGGTACAGTTCACAGTCAGGGAAGCCTCTTCTAAGAGGGTCACTTGGCCCTCCGTCTGAGTCACTGAGTCTCCATGGGTTTGTCCTGAGGAAAAAGAAAAGAGACTTTATCACCTTGGGCATAAAGCTCTTGGATAAATTATAGTTAAAAGTTTTGCAGACACAATAGAAAAAAGAATCCAAATTTTAAGAGGCATTTTACTTACCAAGCATTAAGAGTACCACAGTCACAAAGCCTGGAGAACACTTCATCTCTGGAGTGTCACCTAAATAATGTTCTTCAATCTTACCATGAAGAAAGGTTGGAGTGACAGAAATGATCAGTGCAAACCCACATTCCACACAGGAAACGTGATTGTGGTAGGAAGCTGCACCCCCTGGTGGACAGGGACTGAAATGGATGCATGTTGGCCAGAGGCCTCCCAAAGTCAGCTGTCTGTGTCATCCCCGACTTCATGAGGCACGTCAGTCATCAGGGTGCCCCATGGAAGTCTGAACAACAGCAATCCTGACCTTTCAGGTCTATTTGTTCTTAAGACACTACCTGATATGGAAGTTCTTTAACAGAGCATCCCAGGGCATTTCGGTAGTTGTGAGGGCTCTTCTAAAGCATTTTACTACAGTACTTCATATTCTCATGTATCCTTGTGGGCCAGCCTATAACACACTGACTGCCAGAAAAGGGGTTGGAAGTGAATATGGGAAAAGTAATAAGAAGTCAAGTCATTGCTGAGTGATTCTGTGTTTTTGGCACTTTACCCCAGTATTTAGAACCGTGACTGTCATTTTTTAAGTACTCTCTAAATATTTTCTAAATTAAACAAAAATAATGAACAAATGGCCTTTATTTTTTCCCATTAATAAACAGTTTATTCAGTTCATTATAGTGGGTACGTTCCCAGTTAAATGCACAGATACAAGCGAGGTGCCCTGGGTTAATGCAGGAGCCAGCGGGTTACATGGGACTGGGCACGAGGCAAGGAGGGAGCACCAAGGTTTCAGAGTCAGACCTGGCTAGAGCCCCTCAGCGGAGGGGTGGGCTCACGGCCCACCCCACACTGACCCCACTGCTTCCTTCTCACAGCTGGGCATCCTGCAGGGCGTATCTTCAACACTGCAGCATCTCAGTGAAGCCAAGGGAACAGATATTAAAAGGAGTCCGTGTCCTGGTGCCCCTCAACTCTTGTTGCTCAGACAACATTCTTCGAGGTGACAAACACTCAGGAAGTTAAGAGACCCTCTTCGTCAACCGCATGGCAATCTGTGAAGGCGCTGGGCCAGGTGTGGGCCAGGCAGCTGCATTTCAAGTTTGGAGTGCTTATGACATTACAAAGGCACGTTGCCTAGACATTAAACTTTATGGTAACAAACAGAAAATAATCAGTTTAGACAGAACAGTAGGTGAGCTCAAGAATATAGCAGGTTCTAGGTCAAACATCTTGAAGAGCTTTCTTGAACGGCAGGCTGGGGCTGCACTGGTTCTTCATGGGGAAACATTCCACATGATGATGATGATGATGACCACAACAACAATCCCTATCACCCATATCTTGCAATTCTTCCACCAATATTTTCTCTTCAACTTGGCAGAACTTGTTTCAAATTGGGATGCTCCTGCTTGCAGCGGGACTGCGCGACAGTCTAACTCCGAGAGCTTCTGATCTCTTTCCAACACCTTATCCACACTGACTCTCATGATGTCCACCACCTCATCTACTTGATTTTGTGTCAGCTGAAGGCTTCGGTTGCTGCCAGAGGCAGCACTTGAACCTGCAGGTGCACTTGTAGACATTTTGGTGGCAGCGGGCGATGGTCAGCAGAGCAACGCAGCCAGACCAAAGGCCAGGAGCTGGGCCAACAAATGGCCTTTAATTGATATAACATATTTACTTGTTCCTAAACTATTAGCAATTGCAAGAAATACTATTTTTTAATAAAAGCTTTCAGAAGAAGTCACACTATTTGTCAAACATTGTAATAGTCAAATATTCCTGATTTTTAGAATAATTAAAAAGTGAAAAATAGGAATTATAGACAGAAAAAACATCATACATGGAGTCATCGAATCCCTATAGAATGATCTGACATTCTTATGTTCTCAAGATTTTGTTGACTCCCACATCAGGTGACTAGTGTATGTGAATTAGGCAACAAATATTAATGCTATCCATTTGTGGTATATACTCAAAAATGGGAAGAATTTGTCTCTATACCCATAATATTGAGATATTTATGAGTTCCTGTTTCTACCAAAAGGTGGAAACAACCCAAAAGTCCATCAACAGATAGGAATGGATAAACAAAATGGGATGTGACATACACTGGAATACTATTCAGCTTTGAAAAGCAAAGAAATTCTGTCACATGTTGCAACAAGGAAGAACCCTGAGGACATTATGTCAAATGAAATGTCACAAAATGACCAATACTGTATAATTGACTTCTACAAGGTATCTAAAGTAGTTATTAAACTCATGGAAAGAGAAAGCATAATGGAACTTCCCAAGGACTGGAGGGATGAAGTAATGGAGAATTATTGTTTAATGAGGACAAATATTTAGTTTTTCAAGATGAAAAGAATTCTAGAAATCGATGGTGTTGGTTGAACAACAATGTAAATGTATTTAATATCACGGAACTATACACACAAAAAATGTTAAAATGGTAAAAATGAATGTGAAAATGGTAAAATTTTATAATAAAAAACAATTTGAGGAGGGGCACCAGGGTGGCTAAGTCAGTTAAGCATCTGCCTTCTGCTCAGGTCATGATCCCAGGGTCCTCATATTCAGCCTGGTGTCAGGCACCCTGCTCAAAATGGAGTCAGTTTCTCCCTCTCCCTCTGCCCTTCCTCCTTGCTCATATTCTCTCTCACTCTCAAATAAGGAAATAAAATCTTTAACAAAAATTATGGGGAGATTCTTGTTAAGATTTCTACTCTACACATCTGCCTTCCAAGCAAATACAAGAGGATGATACCATGCAAGACCAATTATCAACCGTCAATTACCATCTGAATTTTAAGGCACTGTGGGAATGAGGTTAGAGGCGGAAGGAGGGAAATGGAGAGAATGAGCATTTGGAGTGTGGAACATTAAACAAAGAGTGCTGGGAAGTGTGCAAACTGAGCCACGTGTTGGCAAAAAGTGATTTTGAAGGAGTTCTGAAATGAAGGGCAGGAAGAGACAAAGGGGAAAATTCACACTCTGCTCCTTCACAGTGTCCCCTTAAGCGCTCCTAATTATGAGCATTTGAGAATAAGACTGGTGAGAAGTAGGTAAACCTCCAGTATGCACACTGAGCACACCTATGCTAGAGGTGTTAATGAGAAGGAATGAACACTAGTACATACTACATCAGAGAGCAGGCCCCTTAGAAACTAAATGTGAATACAGTTGACTCACAGCAAACAAACCTAATTACACTAAACACTACACACAGCACTCAGTCCGTCACCCACACATCATCCCACCCTGTGGCCTGCCACCAGTGCCCTCAGGGGGGCAACAAGAGTGAGCTTCTGTAAGCGGCTAGTGAGCGTGCTCAGAGAGCAGCCCCACTCTCCCAATTGGGAGAAATCACACAAAAGCAGTCAGCACTGTCCTAGAGAAAGCAAACAAAAGAGGAACTGGAGAGGATTATGTTAAGTGAAATAAGTCAAGCAGAGAAAGACAATTATCATATGGTTTCACTCATATGTGGAACATAAGGAATAGCACAGAGGACATTAGGGGAAGGAAGGGAAAACTGAAGGGGGGGAAGTCAGACGGGGAGATGAACCATGAGAGACTATGGACTCCAGGAAACAATCTGAGGGTTTCAGAGGGGAGGGTGTGGGGGGATGGGTTAGCCCAGTAATGGGTATTAAGGAGGGCACGTGTTGTAATGAGCACTGAGTGTTATACACAAACAATGAACCATGGAACACTACATCAAAAACTAATGGTGTGATGTATGGTGACTAACATAACATAATAATAAAAAAAAAGATGCCACATAAGCATCACTGTATTTCACCAAATACAAAAACAAACAAAAAAAGAGAGACTCTTCAGCACACAGTCTGGCTTCACAGGATCAAGAGAAGGCCTTAAAGTTTGTACCACATTGTCCCAGGAAGTAGGAAAGAAATAGCCAACCATGCTGAAGGTTTAAAGCCTGAATGTGTCTGGATCTGAGCTATGTACTCACTGCACACTCTGGATAAAACACTTGTTTTCTTCCACTGCATCAATTCTCACTGAGTATGATCAAGCGTTCAAACCTGTAGGAACTGCACCCTCTCTGCCACTTCTAACTTGATTTAAGAAGAAATAAACGAATAATAGAGAAACATGCTTCCTTCTGACTCCATCATCAGGCTTGGAGGAAATGGACCAATCAAGAGTTGCCTTCCAATTCTTAATCTCAGGAAACAAACTGAGGGTTGCTGGAGTGGTGGGGGGTAGGAGGGATTGGGTGGCTGGGTGATAGACATCGGGCAGGGTATGTGCTATGGTGAGCACTGTGAATTGTACAAGACTGAGGAATCACGGATCTGTACTT